ACACACACACACACACACACACTGTACCTGCTGACTGGGCCAATAATCAAACAGGGGGATCAACATTCCTCTCGCGGGACTGTCCGGCCTGAAGCATCGCGAAGTTTCCTGCGTGTCTCCGGCGTTTGTGAGGCGGCAGCAGGCGGCGGAGGAGCCCGGGTCCAAGAAAGGTGGAGACTCCTGCTCAACTTCCTGCACAGTAATCTTGAGGCAGCCCTGAGAGAGAAGTCAGGAGGCGGGCGGAGCTGCTGCTGCTGCTGCTGCTGGGACAAGGACGAATGGATCCACGGCTCGTTTGACGTCGTTATCTCCAGCGAATCGATACAAACTCACCTTGCGGGCGTTTGGACGCAGCTACCTGGCTAGTCGCTTGCTAGCAGCGGAGCGGCTGGACAAGATATTCCCAGCGTCTGATAGCGAGGCGGTGCGAAGGGCAGGAATGGGTAAGTTTTCCATGATGTGGCGCTTGTGTTGTCTCTATCCTCCGCCTGCCTTCCCCCCTGTGTTTCCTGCTCAACTCAAACAAACCAGACGGAGCCGTGCGAGGCGGTAAAACCGAGCGTCCGCGCCTCGGAACCGTGCTCGGCGCTTTCTGACAGCAAGGTGTTGAAGTTAGCAGCAGGCTAGCCGTGTAGCCTAGCGAGCTAGCCGCCTGGTTAACTGGATAACGCCGCCTCCATCCCTGGATCTGGCTGCGTTTCTAGCTAATGTGAACACGAGCCACCGCAGAGCTGATGTCAACACGGCCTCTGCAGAAACACTCAGGGACCCGGAGGAGCCTGGAGCTGAACACGGTCATCTCGCAGCTGCCTGTTGGTTCTTTTTACTGAAATAACTCCACAGGACAGGAAACTCCTGACCTGAACTTCTCCTGGTGGTTTGGATCCACCCCCCCCCCCCCTTTGTGATGCTCATGTCAGATACAGATATTGTTGTTAAGCTCATCGTGTCATGACTTACATTCTTTCCATGACTCTGACGATTCACTGCAAGTTCCCACACCCAGACATGCCTTGCTTGCCCTCTCTTAACACTGGACCAGGGTGAACCACACGTCTGATCCTGACCTGTGACCCACCATTAATCTGATTGTCCAAGTGATGGAATGGCAGCATCACAGATTCAGTTCATGTCAGTGTCAAACCTGACGGTTGATAACCTAACATGAGTCAGCGGGGGGGGGGTGTAGGAGGTTTGCTGTCATGCTGGTTGTGATCATGAAGAGGAAGCACTTTGATCTGTGGATAGATATAGCAAGCGCAGACCTCCTGTTACTGTATGATGACATCTTGCCCACTGTTTCTCGCTCGATGTGCAGTCTGTGGGTTGTGTGGTCGGGTGTTGTACGACTTGTTCAAGAAACTTGCTATGTTGCAAAACTGGTTTTGACAGCTGCGCTCGGCCCTCGGAGGTGTAAAGCTGCAGACAGTGGGAAGAGGAGCTGCTGCAAATAAAACTGTTCTCTTTTCAAACTGGTGCTTTAACTTGGTCTGGAATACCAATATACCAGTGCTGTTAATATTCAATTGCACCAACAAAGCAGCGCAGAGGATTATCTGACAACAAGCTGAGGTGTTCTTAAAATACCAACCCTGGAGGAAAACTGATTAGAGCTCATTAAAATGACAATCACTCTCTATGCACAAAAGTCGGGCTTCTTCACCAGAGTCCATTTGTCGAACACCAGGTTCATACAAGTGTGTAACGTGTGTTGTGTTGTCTTTGGTATGTGTCTCCTCACGTAGCTCAGTGTTGAGGTTACCCCAGCTGTGTTTGAACACGTCCAGGCTGTGTGTGAGAGCCCCTCGCATTCTGTTTGCTTTCCCCTCAGCTCAGTGTAGACTTACATGCAGCCTGCTGCAGGTTGATAAAGTATAATCTACAAACTGGCGTTGTGGTGCCTGGCGTGGTCCCTGCCTCTGTGCCTTTATTTTGTTTGTGGGTATTAAAAAGAAAAAGTGAGAATACAGAAGAAAAAGAGAGGAAGTTTGAAGTGGGGACATCAACAACTTCTTGTGCCACCATGACACCCATGCTAACTTCACTGTAGCGTTCCACAAAATCACAGAAACAAAGGGCAACCTTGTGCTATGATGTCCGATTGAACATTAACTTCACTGGCCTCAATCAATATTTACTAGAATGTGGTACATGTTGATTTCCCACCTCACAGATGAAGGTCTGCTGAAGTAGCCTGGTTCTGGTGATCAAATGTTCATTAACTAAAAACAACATTTAAAGAGATATCTGTTATTGCATTTCATGTAATTAGGTGCATATTTACAGAGCAGAAGTCTTTTTAAAACGGAACAGTTAATAAACGGGAGATCATAGTTACTGGCCTGTACAAATCTTTTTTTAGTGCTGCAGGAACTCTGGTGTAATTATCATTGCCAACCTATAAGATCATTTAAAAAGATTATTTTAAATCTCATTTGAACAAAGAGATGCTCTTGACTTTTCCCTGGATGGTGATTGAAAGAGAACAAGAGGCAGAGCTTAGTGTCATTCTTCTCTCCACTGCTTTAGTGCAAGTGGCAAACATGCTTGGGCTGCAACTAGTGATTATTGACAGTATAGAAGTATAAGAATAGATTTATGTATTGTCAGACATTATCTTATTGCAGATATGTTGGCCGATGAGTCAGAAGAAACTGCAGTAGGCCTACAGACGTTTGATGTTGTGCAGTGACGGTGCCTCCACAGCTGCTTTCAGACATGCACGGAACTGAAAATTATCCAGAGGGACTATATGTGTGGGTGCAAATGTGTGAGTCAGTTTCTGTTTGGGTCGGGCAATATGCTAAAACTCTCATAGCATAACAATTGGCCACCATCGGCCCAACAACCACAGATACGCAGGGGAGCATGCCAGTATCAGCAAATGCAATTATGGTGGAGCTGTCTTCACTTGCGATCGGATCTCTTCATTGCACTGGTTACATTTGTTTTTAGGAGTGTGAGAGAGGGCCAGCTTATTCTGTTTTTATGTTATCAAATAAATCAAAATTTTTGCAGGTCATTAACGTCAGCTGAGTAGGCGTGTCAAGCATGTGCCTGAGAGAGAAGGAAAAGTGAGCGAGCAGCGTCAGGATGAATAAATGAATATATATAATTCACTATAATAAGTGCCAGTTGGTGAGTGCATTCATAGAATTAATTATTGAGGAGACCGACCATTATATCAGTAAAATAAAATGACGAATTGCCCAAACAATTGCCCCCCCAAAAACAAAACAACTGATGATGGGCCAATCGCCAATGAACAATATATTTGTCTAATTGCGCAAACCTAGTTGCTGTGGACTTTCTCCAGGGTTTGTCTTGCCAAATAATGTCCGAAATAGCCCATGTGAGAACACAGCAGGAGATTCCCCAGAGGATTCACTGCACGTGAGTGGGCGTTCCTAACACGCGACAGACGCAAAACTACAAAGCAGTCACAGCATCACAATTCTAGTATTGGTCAGGCTCTGTTATCAATGAATCTGCCTATTTGTGCTTTATTGTGATTTAAACAATGAATCAAAGTAGTTGACACTTTATTTGTCTGCCTTTGTTTATGCACATGGACTGCCTGTTGGTTAGTGTTTTCAGTCAGTGGTGCTAAGTGTGCTTCTATAATGTATAAAAGGATAGTCACAGCTGTTTCTGTTTCCACATAAAGCTCTTGGTTTTATTATTTATTAATCAAGGCAGGTTTAATAACTTATTATAATAACACTGATTGTCTAGTTGTGTGAATGTAGCTTCCAGGTATGTGTAATGTTTGTCAGGGCGTTGGTAAGCACACAAGCTTGGCTATTATCTTCACACTGAATAAAGGTGAGCAGGAGAATTCAGGCTTTAGAGCAGCAACATCTCTCTTCCCGACTGACTTCTCTCTTCCCGACTGACTTCATTTCTCCCGACAGCACTTTGCCCTTCGTATCAGCCACCTCTCTGAGCAGTGTGAAGGAATGCAGTTATGGGTTTCCTCTGCTCTGATTGTGACTGAGAGAAGCACAGAGAGCACACTGATTTAGACAGTCTGCCTGGCAGTCAGCTCGCCTGCGTGGCCTTGGGTACCCCCCCCTCCTTTCTCTTCCTTCCTTCCTCTCTCGCCCTCCCTCCCTCCCCTGTAACATCCTCCTGTCTGTCACTGGCTTATATAAGAGCCATATTGTGCAAACTCTTTACCTGGAAGCAGTGTGTGTGGAGAGGAAATCAATAACCATGGAAGTTCTTTGCTGACACAGACAGGAAGTGTGATCACTTTACTTTGAGGGGTCTCTAAACTTGATAGCAAAGATAATACAGAAATAAATAACTGACAAAAACAATGAACTATCTGCAGAGAGACTGACATTGTCAGCGCCATTACTGCTCATAGCAGTATTTAGTAAGTAAGTGTAGTGTATTGACTCTGAGGGGAGAAAGATCAATTGTATCTGATAAGAGCCACACTCTTGAAGCAAGACCAGGCATGATGGAGGTATGCTGGAGAGGCAATAGCTCGCTCAGACAACCACAACAAAGCATGCAGACAGTGATAAACTGTAAGGTTTGTTACACTTAGGAATGTAAATTCCCCTGCTGCCTTAAATATATGAGTTAAAGGAACATATGTTGTTTCTAGGAAGTTAAGTAATTTGTTTTGAAGAGTAAATGCGAAGCTAACTGTGTTAACTGAAAACAAATTCAGTAAATGTAACTTTGAAGCGTCACATGGACAGGCTTTCTTATATTTTCTCAGAGGGAAGTGTCGGTTCCAAACCTGCCTGTTTGGATGGGTTGTTTTCTCGGCCTGTGGTAATGCAGATTGCAGCTTTCTTTCTGAATCTGTCAAAGTGACCTGCAGTCATTGAGACATGGAACGTAAGGACCCTGTGTGTGTCTCAGTCTGCAGAACCCTGAAGAGCTGTTCACCTGTTGATTCAAAGTTCTGTGATGCTCGACCCAGTACACAGAACCCAGAACTGTTCAATCAGTCGTTGTTGCTGTGACACAGGGTGGTCGGCTGTTTATACAAAGCTAATTTATATTGAACACACCAAGTGTGATGCTGACAAGATGAACAGTTCTCATGATATGTGTTAGATAGACCGACATAACTCAGAGCTGCAGCTGCTGTTGCAGGTCAGCCAGTGCAGTCAGTTTAACGCCTGAGGCTAGTGACTTATTGTAGGAACTGAATTCAATTCTGACCTTCAGCATGGTGAGCATTTACTCTTTATTATGAAAAGAATCAACTTTTCATGTAACCACACAAAGCAAGTTGACTGAATGTCTGTTTTGTTCAAACTATAAATCTGACTATTCATGCTAAAGATTGCCTATATGCTTTTTTCCCCCTCTTTTTAAAGCTTCATTTGATGAGATGAGTCAACTCTATTCACTCAACTTACATTCATTAAGTTGGTTGATTCTACCCATTTCTCTATAATTTTGAAAGTAAAGGGTC